TCCAGACCCAAAAAACAGGTGACAATCCTTATATATAGACTATATATAAGGATTGTCACCTGTTTTTTGGGTCTGGACCTAGTTTTGGTCACAAATGACCCCAATATAGAGTCCAGGCACCGTTACAACCCCCTTTGCATATCCACATCTCTGACAGACAACTAAAAAATTACTTCATTCAATCATTGTTGCTATGCACCCTGCACCCCTCTCAATCCTTTAGTTTTCAGTTGATTCTGTACAGAACCGATGGAAAAACTTACTTACACACATTACATGATGTGGCTTCGCTTGATAATGCGCTAGGAGTTACTTAAATTATGTATTTTGTTAGATTTATAGTGTTAGTTTTTTGGTAGGTACAAATGGTGTACATATCATGAAGGGAAGTAACTCGCACTGTTCGGAATGGAGCAAACAAATACTTCTTTGATATCAAAATCGAAAGATTATTGATCAGACAGGGTTTATGGAGTTTAGATCTCAGATACATGCGTTGTGTTGATAAAATTCCTAGGTGCCTGTCTGATCTCATCGAGATAAGAAACATTCATTTTAATTCATTTTTTACACGAATTAGATCTATACTGTACCACGGATTTATATTACATCTAAACTTTTTGAAAAGGTATTATTTGATCAGCTCTCTGCTTTTTTTGATGATATATTTGACAATTATTTATGTGCTTTTAGGAAAGGCCATGGGTGTCAAACTACTCTGTTAAGACTGCTTGAGGACTGGAGACAGGCCCTGGATAACAATGAATATGTGGCAGCAATTTTGATGGACTTATCTAAGGCATTTGATTGTCTGCCACATGACATTCTTTTAGATAAGCTAAAAGCATATGGCTTATCAGGCCCTGCCACCAACCTCATGCAATCTTATCTGTCAAACAGGAAACAGCAAATAAAAATAGGCAATATTGTAAGTTCATGGGCTAATATATCCAAAGGTGTCCCTCAAGGATCAATCCTAGGCCCTCTACTGTTCAATATTTTCATAAATGACATATTTTTCTTTATAAAAAAATGTACTTTATATAACTATGCAGATGACAATACCCTTTCTTTTCGGACTAAATATTTTGATGAACTAATATGTACCTTAGAACAAGAAAGTAACTATCTTATAAATTGGTTTCATTTTAATAAAATGCAAGCTAACCCTGATAAATTTCAAGCTATTGCTGTAGGGAAGAAAACTTTCACTAAATCCCCAGCTTTCAAAATTAATACTAGTGAAATAACATGTGACGAAATTGTAAAACTCCTTGGCATCGACATTGATCAACAATTAAATTTTAATTTTCACATAAGCAATATATGTAAAAAAGCTGCTAATCAGTTAAACATCCTCAAAAGAATAGGTCACAATTTAAATCAAACAAATAGGCTAACAATCTTTCATACTTTTATTTTGTCCAATTTTAATTTCTGTCCTATGGCATGGCATTTCTGTTCAGAAAATAATACAAACAAGATGGAAAAACTACAGGAAAGAGCACTCAGATTTGTATATAATGATTTTAATTCAAGTTATGAAGATATGCTGATAAAAGTTAATATACCAACTCTAAAAAATAAGAAGAATGAGGCTATGGCCATTGAAACTTTTAAAATTTTTCATGATATGTCTCCTGCTGTTCTGTCTGACCTTATTGTCAAGAAAACTACTGGTATTAATTTTAAATATTCAAATATTTTGCAGATCCCTCAAGTAAGAACTACAACTACAGGTAAAAAATCTTTCAGGTATGCTGCACCTGCTTTATGGAATACTCTACCCGAAAATTTTAGAAAATGTTCAAATTTTGCTCAGTTTAAAAAGTTAATTTCATCCTGGAATGGTAAACAGTGTAAATGTATTGCTTGCAGGTAACTTCTATATCTTGATTTACTCCACTTTTTTATTTATTTTTCTGGGTATGAACATTTTCTTTTGGGTCACATTTATCATTTAGCTTCTTCAGTTTTTTTTTTTTTTTTTTTTTTTTTTTTTTTTTTTTTTTTTTTTTGCTTGCTTTAAATGTGTTTTGCTATTATTCTTCCCTGCTTATGTTAATATTGTCATTTAGTTTCTAGATAGGATGTTGCTTTATTTTGTGATCTTTTGTTTTGATTTTGCTTTTTGTTTTGTTGTTTTTTTTTGCTTATCTTTTCCAGCATGACTCAAGCTAGCTGTTAAATGAGTTCAACTAATGACTTACGTGTTTAATACCTTCTGTCTTTGTGTAGTCTGATAATCCATAGTCTTTCATATTTAAATTATATATATAAAAATGTATTTTTTTTTAGTATTTTTATTTATTTATTTATTTAAATAATTCATTAAATTTTTAATTGATTACTCGGTATATTATTGAACTTTAAGTAAATTTTTAGATACTAGACTTTGCTAGTGATGTAGATTTGGGTAAACTATCATTTTTAGTTTTTTAGCATATGATTCGTTTTTATAAATATATCCTAAAAGGTCTATTTTATGCATGTGATGTATATATATCATGTCTAATCATTTTTTATTGTAGCTGTTTTATCTTTGTTGATCTTATACTTTATGTTATTTACAGTCGGTTATAAAAGCTCCTAGAGCTTATGTTGTAATGTTGAAAACTTGCCGACTTGAAATAAAACTTATCTTATCTTATCTTATCTTATCTTATCTTACATATTATATTTATATATTGTAATATAAATCCGTGACTGTACTGGTCGGAGACGCATAGATAATAGTTATAACTTATAACCAAAGACATACTGTACATAGCACACCTCCTGATGTTATAGCCTATGAGTTTGTCAAATCTATTTGAGGTCGGTTAATATTTTCTCATGCAATGAATTTTAATCAATCAAGCCTAATATTCCGGTGTCAGGGTAGATTTTAACCTTGCCGGTCATTTTATGTTCCAGATTCAACCGCTCCAAAGTGTTATAACTAAGAAAGATACTGTCAGTTTATTGTGAGTATATCTATTGATACATAAATTCCTTTCACCCTTGGATCACGATTGTCAGCCGGGATGAAGATTGTCAACTACATGCAAATTTTAACCAAATTTTGTAAAAACACAGACACAAATTAATGAAATTATCATAATCTACCATGTCCATGAATACATTTTAGTCCAAATAATTGTACTACGCGTTTAGATATAATGCTATTTTGTGTATTGGAAAAATCGCTCCTCTGACCCAGAACAAAAATATCTGAGAATCTAGCTTTGGCATGTCAAATGCATCAAAATATTTTGACAGTACTAGAATACAATTATCTTAGTGAAGTTAGTCATAATATTTCGACTGCTAGATAGACAAATTTTGCAATCTGATACAAAGACATATATCATACATGTATTACATAGAGATGTTGGTCTTTATAAAGGGTGACCATCATCTATATAATAAAAAACCCTAAAGCGCACAATTTGGTGGGCTAAATTATACCTTAGCAGCCAGGGCCTTTTTTCACAGTGGGGAAGCAGCCCAGCCCTTAATTTTGGGGAAAAATTACACAGTTTATTTGCAAAAGGGGAAGAAAAAACTTGATGTAAATTCAATTTTTGGGGAAAACTGCATGATTTTAAAGAAATTTTCTTTGGGGAAGCAGCCCTATACCGGCCCCTGTTATAGAAGGTAAAAAGGCCCTGGGCCAGCCTATTAAAATTTACCACACTGGGTAACAGAATCTCTGTATTACTAATTAGGAGTCTATTAAATTCATTATGTATGGTAAACTTTGAGCATGTTCTTCAATTTTAATTCTGATCACTATAGCTAGTGTCCTTATCGAGACATAGAGACATCAATAACCTGATACTCATCTGACATACTTCAGCATAGTCCCAGGGCTCGCGCAACTGGGCGACTAAGTAGCCTAAAGTTTCTTAACTGTGCCGAGTTTGAACATCAAAGCAATATCGACTTCACCAAGCTTTTTTTCTTGCTGCATAATCTTTACGTATCACACAGTGCTTGTCAATAAATCTAATCCTCGCCTCCCGATGCAACTTAAACAACACAGTTACTGCCGATAATTGACCGCAATTAACACATTTATGACATGATATGCAGATCCATCTGAAATGATTGCCCTCTACTTTGCAGATCAAAACATCGCAATTATTTGGGCATAATTTATTTCACACCTGCAAATTTTTAATCAGCTAGTTTAAAAAGTTTACACCCGCAATCAGTCTTACCATATTTGACAGTAACTACACGCAGTGTCAAACGGACCATGTAAATTTACTTGCGTATAAATAAATAGACAACAGTGGCTCAATACAGTTATGTTTGCATCAAGTTAAAAGTCGGCAGCTTCTTTGATGTTCTTTGAATAGCAGTCACAAAAAAAAGATTGACGATCGGTAATTTTTGGTTTTATTTCATTGAAAAGACAGACCATCAGACGATTACCACTTGATTTCTGTCAATTTACTTTAGGCCTTAACCCCCTTATATTAATTATTAATGCAATATAATACTTGTTGAATTAAAAAAAAACTAAATATAAAAAAAATCTGCATTTAATATTACTGAGCATGCTGAGTAAATAAATAAAACATCTTTTTATAGATCAACTCAATGCACCTAGCACTTTTCCCTATGTCTTCAAACTTCTCCCTGATAGGAGCTGAGGGAAAAGTCACTGATGAGCGTGAAGTCACTTCTCCCTTAAATTTTGTTCTAGCTAGAGCCCTAAGTCCTATAAATATGACATAGCTTTGAGATATTTTTAATTTCCTTCTTGGCAAAGCAACATCAGGCTTGACCATCAATCATAAACTACTGTATTCCTAGAAAAGATTTCGCGCATTTTAAGTTAGCGCTTTTCGTGGTAGGCATGATTCCGCGAATCTTTATAGTCGCGAATATGTCAGTTATAACAAATCCGCGAACATTTCTAGCTTCAACCAAATATAAACATAAACATGCAGAATTTTTATTATAATCTTACTTGCGGATACATACGGGGTTTAATATGCAATGACAAAATTACAATACCAATAATGCACATTGACCCTTAAAGAAAAAATGTCAATTATTAGTAATTATCATGTTTATTCGTTTATTCGCTAGTCACGGCGTATTCAAAAGCATTTACAGTTTGCGTACATTGAATGACTTGGATTTTATTTGCTTGAAGTAGGTGTAATCCTTTGTTAAAAATACAAAAGCGATCAAGTGCAACATTGATAAATTATAATGAGAGCGATGTATAGTCGAATACTGTTAAAGTAGCACGACATTACCGTTATATAAATCCAGACGTCTGGACCGAAAAATAAACCAGTAAATTTCCAGCTACTTTTTAAGTAATACACTCGTTCTAGTTTATAGATTTTAAGGTCAATCATGAATTGCATGAATTGCTGAATCATTAATGTGACAATCATAATTTGAAAATAGGCTATACTGCATGCTCATATACCAAGGTGGGGACCGGGAATAATTTTATTTTGATATTATTTTTTATGTTTTGGACATAAAATACATGTAGGTTTATACCATAGCCTCCAAAAACTGTAATTTAGGCCATAGCGACTTAATATTCGCATAATTCGCGTTAACTACAAATCCCAAAAGTTTGTCTCCGCGAAAATGACGAAGTTGTGAAAAACGCGAAATATTGTAATTTGTATCCGCGAACATTTCTAGGAATACAGTATAACAAGCCCATAACATCTAATATGTTAGACTAGCTTGAATGGTCCAAGCAACATCTTGACGATTCAAAATGCTGTTTGACAAAGGAAAGTGATGCACAACAATGGGAAGCAACAGTCGAAAGTAGTCCTGCTGTTGTTTGGTAATGTAAAGAGTGAAACTTCATGTTAATGTCGCTTCCCATTGTTGAGTGTGACTTCCCATTATCCAGCCTTTATTGCACTGTTGTGATATCACTTCACAGTGTCATAGTCTGTATTTCTGCTGACTTGGAATGCCCAAGTGACCCACCACAATGACCCAGTGGCACACCACAATACCCAAGTTACCCACCACAATGCCCAAGTGGCCTACCACAATGCCCAAGTGGCACACCACAATGCCTAAGTGACCCACCACAATGCCCAAGTGGCCTACCACAATGCCCAAGTGGCACACCACAATGCCTAAGTGACCCACCGCATTGCCCAAGTGGCACACCACAATGCCCAAATGACCCACCACAATGCCCAAGTGACCCACCGCATTGCCCAAGTGACCCACCACATTGCCCAACTGGCCCACCACAATTCCCCAGTGGCACACCACAATACCCAAGACTTAGTGACCCACCACAATGCACCAAGTGGCACACAAGAATGCCAGGCGTCACTTGAGACTATGAAGGGTCATTATTAAATTTTATATTATTTTTGTTCTGCAATGAGAAACAACACTATAGATTTTTTTTAATGATTTATATTCATATAACATATTGTATATCAAAAGTGAATTGACAGCCTCCTAATATTATAATGAGTAATTGATTGTTGAACATTTGTTATTGTATCATCTGATGTAAGAAATATATTTAAAAGTGCAGTGATAGTGAAAGCTAGATTTTGAAACTGTTTTCACTGATATTTGGAAAATACTTTTCACTGATATCCAGATAGTTTTTACTTTTTAAGAAAATATCTCGTACCCATCAATCCATTTTTCCAGGTATCTCAACTCATGTGGGAAAGGAATTTATAAACACCTTTAATAAACACTGAGATAGACTTAATGGTACAATGTATGTGTCATTTGTGTGTGATAAAATATAAAATAAATTGCCTGTTCTTTTCTTACTTCAGGTAACATTTTAATTGATGAAAGGAACCTTCTATCTTATGCCTATAAATGAGTAAACCAAAACTGGCATTTTTGTGCATGTACGATGCAGCTCCATTATCAGTTCACAAAATAATGAGAGACTATGAAACTGTTATCAGAGAAATCAAGCAATAATTACTTTTTATGCCACCGCAGCATCTGCGATGCGGTGGCATATAGCGATTCACCTGTGTGTGTGTGTGTGTGTGTGTGTTCGTTTGTTTGTTTGTGTGTGTGTGTGTGTGTTATATAGATTATATAGTGAACTTAAAAAATCTTCTTGTGAAAAACCACTAGTCCAATTTCAACCAAACTTGGCAGGATTGATCCTTGGGTGAAGGGCTTCCAAAGTTGTTCAAAGAATTTAATTCCATGCAGAAATCTGGTTGCCATGGCAACCAAAAGGAATTATAAGAATAAATTTAAAAAATCTTCTTGTAAAGACCCAAAAGGCCTAGAGCTTTGATATTTTGCATAAGGCATTGTCTGGTAGACCTCTACCAAGATTGTTCAAATTATAGCCCTGGGGTCAAAATCGGCCCTGCCCCGGGGGTCATTGATTTTGACTATATGTACATATAGTAAAAACTTAAAATACCTTTTTGTAAAGACCCATAGGCCTAGAGCTAAGATATTTTGCATAAGGCATTGTCTGGTAGACCTCTACCAATATTGTTCAAATTATAGCCCTGGGGTCAAAATCAGCCCTGCCCCAGGGGTCATGGATTTTCACTATATGTACATATAGTAAAAATTTAAAAAACCTTCTTGTAAAGACCCAAAAGGCCTAGAGCTTAGATATTTTGCATAAGGCATTGTCTGATAGACCTCTACCCAGATTGTTCTAATTATAGCCCTGGGGTCAAAATCGGCCCGGCCCCGGGGGTCATTGATTTTCCTCATATTTACATAGTAAAAACTTATAGTAAAAACTTTAAAAAAATTTCTTCTAGCAATTGACAAATGCTAGAGGTTATATACTTTTCATGAAACATTGTGAAGTGAAGCTCTATCAAGAATGTTCAAATAATAGCCCTGGGGTCAAAATTGCCCCCGCCCCGGGGTCATTGATTTTCAATATATACATAAAGTATAAAATCAAAAATATCTTATTGTCTGAAGGTACAAGGCTTAGAGCTTTAATATTTGTTAAATGATATCAATGCACTTGAGTCTAGTGAATTTGGTGGTGAAGGTCATATTTCACACAGCCTAAAATTTCATGACTGCATCAAAGGACAACATGTAATACACTTTGTCAAAATCTAGGTTTTAACCTAGATATTAACGTGTCGTATTAACGTGTCGTTGCCCTGTCCTTTTTATGTTTGGGGTCCGCCTGGGCTCCTTGCCATTGGTTCTTGTTGCTGGGTCATATGGGGGTTGCGTTCATTGAACGCCGCCTTTCCTTGTTGATCTTGTTTATCATATTCTATAGGTACTCTACCAAAGTTGTTCAAATTTTGCCTCTAGTGTCAAAATTAAAAGTGAACTTTGATATCAGCTGACCTATATTTTGACAAAGTGTATTACATGTTGTCCTTTGATGCAGTCATGAAATTTTAGGCTGTGTGAAATATGACCTTCACCACCAAATTCACTAGACTCAAGTGCATTGATATATTCCTACTCTGATCTTTTATTGAGTTAACAATAGATTTAACCACTAATCTGATAATAAGAATTAGATATGCATTATGACAATCTTCAATTGTATAGAAACAAAAAAAATCTGTTCCTACACTACTATTTAGTGTTGTATTAATGCGGTGGCATAGCATTTTTCTGAAATGCAATCTTGTTATCTTTAGTAATTCTTGAAGGTTTATATATCTAATGCATTTCTTGTTTTCAGACTAGAAAGTGAGTCATGTCTTGGAAAGGTAGCATACAGAATGCTGCATTATGTGTTGGAATTGCAGGTATTGGTTTTGTAGTTTCCATTGGCTTACAAAGTTTAATTTGCTTGTTTCAAAATCAAAATATTTGATAATGATAAGGCATTTAAGTCTGTTTCTTAGCATATGATTTTATACATTAAAGTGCTCCTTTATTTTTTGGCATTTTTTTATGTTTCTATTTATAATCTTGTAAAAAACTTCATAAGTTACTTGAGACTAAACATAAGATAGGACATTTACCAATCTGAGTCTCGATATGACTGAAATGTTGCCACAAACTGGTGCTAAAGACAAACAAACAATAAAGAATGTTATTTCTATTTTTAACCCCTCTTAAATGTTTCTTTTATTTCTAAATTATATTTTATAATCTAATTCCAGGAGTTACTTTATTGGCAGTAAGGCGAGCTGTTTTGTATTTTCGAACTCGATGTCCGAGTAGAGCTCTTATGGTTGGTAAAACTGTTATTGTTACAGGTGCTAACTGTGGTATTGGGTACGAGACTGCCCTAGATCTTGCAGGCAGGAAAGCTCGGGTTATCCTAGCATGTAGAGATCTAGGTAAAGCTCAGACAGCAGCGACCAGGATAAGTAAAATTACAGGAAACACTGATGTATTGGCAAAAAAATTAGACTTGGCATCACTCAAATCTGTACAGGAGTTTTGTAGTGACGTCAACAAAACTGAACCAAAACTAGATGTTCTTATAAACAATGCTGGTGTAATGAATTGTCCATTTTCTCTGACTGAAGATGGTTTTGAAAACCATTTAGCTGTGAATCATTTCGGAAACTTCTTGCTTACGAACTTACTAAAAGACTTACTTTACAAAGCAGAAGACAGCAGGGTAGTTTTTGTATCGTCTGCTCTTCATAAATATGGTACAGTGAGATTAGAAAACCTTAACAGTGAAGAAAACTACAAACATGGAAAACCGTATGCTGACAGTAAATTAATGAATCTCCTTTTCGCAAGAGAATTTCATAACCGATTTGGAAAAGACGGTAGAATTTGCGTTTACTCAATGCATCCCGGCATGGTTAGAACAAGACTTGGACGATACACCATCTTGTATAACCGATACTTTCAGATTTTTGGATTCCCTCTGTATGCCTTACTTTACTCATTGTATTTCCTATTGATCAAATCGGCACGAGAAGGCTGTCAGACCGTGGTGTATTGTGCTGTTGCCCCAGAACTTCAAGGACAATCTGACTGTTACTATGGTAACTTCAAGAAGGAGCCTTGGAGTAAGCCAGCTAGTGACCTTGACCTTGCAAAGAAAGTTTGGGAAATCAGTGAGGACAAAATAAAATGTTCTGACAAAATGCAATAGATTAATTTAAAACTTACAAGCTAAACAATAACATATCTTGATAAATGTATAAACTACAAGTACATGTATGCAATTTTGATCATGACACAATTATCCACACTGTTAACATATTCACAGATGCATTCAAAGTTGTTATTTAAAAAGAAAAGAAGAAATGAAAACAAGTTGTTACTTAAACCTGTTAAGTGAGATATATATATACTTTTTTTATCCTGCATGTTTGTAACATCAGATTTCATTGGACGGTCATAATGTTAATATTTTCTTATATTCACAACTGCATCAGATTTATGAATTAGTATCAATTTTAATCAAAGGTAGAAATTGTTGAGAATTATTTATTTCATGCTTTTCAGTGTTTTACAGAAATATATCAGTGAGATATAAACTGATAATTTCACTGTTTGAAACAGTGAAATTATCAATTTGATATTTTCACTGTTTTGAATTTAAGCCATTTTCGTTGTTTCAGTATTATACCAGCTTGCACATGTACTGAAAACAAACTTAATGATGTGACGTCATAAATGACGTCACATTAAATAATTATTTGGCGCACTTTTCATTTAGTACTAGGTTAAAATGTCTTTTTGAATGTTTCTTTGCATATAATAAAAAGTTTAGTTTAGTGAAAGATCGAAATATATTTCACCTCGAGAACACCTGTGCCACTCTTGAAATAAACCTTTTGATGCTCACTTGTTGAAATATATTCTGATCTTACACTGAACTAAACAAAATTTAATGTCCTCTATATATTTATTATTTAAGAAATAATATATCCCAAACAGTGATTTTATCGCTCAATAACATCACTGTTTGGAGTTCGGATGCAAGGAATTATATCACGAGGGCGTAGCCTGAGTAATATAATGATGTGCATCCGAACGACAAACAGTGATGTTATCAAGCGATAAAATCACTGATTGGGATGTACTAGTATTATTTCAATTCTAACACAACATTAACAAATAAATGTTGCGATACTTGATAGTTAAGCAAAATTGCGCCTGATTTGTTTCCGAACTTATTTTCAGCGCGTCGGATTTTTAGTGGTTACGTCACGTGTATAATGATTATGTCACATGTCTAAATATAGAACGTCAAACTGTGCATCTGTTGCATAATAACACACACTTTCTATTCTTCTATGTTTAATAGGGAAAAATGCGGGTCGTGTTAGAATTAGACTTTTAACATGTTATATCATTACATGGCTGACATTAGCTATGGCTGTTTATAATGGCTGTTAGCTATTTAACCCTAACCTAACAAAGTGGGTTAAAGGCGGGGTTATTTAAGCTTAAACCTGTATGTAATAAAGATGATTTTTGACAGGTTATATGGCCCCTATAGAAACAGTTGTTTTGAAATGTAGCAATGGTTGTATTGCAAACAACAGTTTATATATGACCACGTAACCTGTCAGAAATATTTATAGCAAAAAATTTTATATTGAAACATTGAAACAAATTTTTAACATCGAAAAGCATTGACTTTTAAATAAATTAAAAATTATGAATGAATGAGCTGAAGTTGCGCAATGTGATTTTATCTTCATATTCTTGGATTGTTGCTATTATATTTGTCAGTTAATATATATACACTATATTAATGTTTGGGTGTGTATGTGTGTGTGTGTGTGTGCGTGCATATGTATTTGTTAGATGTTTATGTACTACTATTTATATTTTTTTTTATGTCCAATTGATATGTTAACTACAATGATAATATAGTGCTGCAAAATTAATAAATATGAGAAATAATTTCTTTTACTTTTTATGTCCTACTCCCCCCCAGCGTCCAGATTTCAGATTAAAGTCTTGGTGCAGTAAACTATTTTTCACTACAACTTTTTTCATTTCTTAAGGTATCAGCTTCAAATGTATGTTCATTATCATCAGCCACATCTTATGTTCATAACTCTTGCACCAATATTTTCAGATTTATCTCCCCTTGAACTTAGAATTTTCCTTGAAAAAAAAACTATTTTTTACTTTTACTTCTATATTTCCTAAGGGATCAACTTCATACTACAAATTTATGTCCCTTATCATCAACCACATCTTATGTAACAAGGTTCATAACTCTAGCACTAATTTTTTTAAATTTATTTCCCTTTCAACTTTAAATTTTCCTTAAAAATATTATTGTTTACTGTTACTTATTTATTTCTTAAGGGATCACCTTCATACTTCAAATATATATTCCTAATTTTTCCCTCATAGTTTTGTCTTCCTTACTGCATCCAGTATTTTATTAGTCGAATTTGCTGTCTCCTGTGACAGCTCTTGTTACCTTTTACTGTATATCAGAATGCTCGTTGCAGAGTGTTCAGTAAGTAAGAAAATAAAGACTTCATTTCCTGAGGCAACACAGTTGGGCAAGCCCAGTAAGCCTCAGTGGTAAAAGTCAATGACTTAATCACTTATTCCTTTCAGCTGTGGACTCAAATCCCTGCTGTTGGTCCAACTAGCTCAATTACTTCCTTCTGGGACATATCCCAGCTTCCTTATACATGAAAACAGTGCAGAGTGATACCTTCAATAAGTGGGAATTACCATAACAGTGTCCGTGTGACTTGAAAAGCAACCTTGATAATGTCTGTCAGAATAATGCATTGTCAACCTATGTTAATTGGATGAAAATGCCCAAATAAAAAATTAAATAATGTTGAAGTAATTTTCTACATGTATAATGGCTGTAACTTTGCTATTCATGACTTCATTAATGTCTTTATTGGATTTAGCAATAATTTAGACAAGATCTTTTCAAAGACCAAATTGACTGCGACCTTTTCTCATCAATGACTTTGATCATTTATGTTTTTCTTTTGTTACTAACAACATTATGAAAAACATTGCCCTTGACCTTTTCTCTGACCTTGACCACCAAGATCAAATTATTGTATTTTGCCTAAATTGTCATAACTTTTTATTTATTTACAGATTTGATTATTCTTGGATAAAAGGACACTTAAGACAAAATTAAATGATGAATATTCCAAATATGATCTCGGACATTAAATGACCTTTATCGTCAAGACCTGAAATGTTTTATTTTTCAAATTTGACCTTGACCACAAACTGAGCTTGTCTATCATGGTCAAGATTTATATTTTTCATACTTATTCATTAATTTTAGTGAGCATATTTGATTCATAATGATACTACGACAAAAAACAACAACATGTACTTCAGCACTCATAGAGCTGAATAATTAAAGTATGCCGTTTGTCTGTAAATGACCTTGACTGTCAAGGTCAAATAATGAGTTAAATTTTAATTTTATTTTGTTTAAGAAATTTTTTTCTTGGATAATTCTTTACTTCTATTCTTTCTAGGATGTATTTGATTTAGAAATAAGAAAATGTCGAGCCTAGTCCCGCTTTGCGGTGGCTCTTATTATTGTGCAAAATTTATGACCAACAACTGAAAGATGGGCTACGTAAATATCGCGCTAATTATTAATTTTGAGGATATTTCTAACAAATTTAATTTTGAGTATATTTCTTTATTATATATCTTTTTCTTATTTTTCTCCATTTTAAGTGTCCCAGGTTTATCTATGTAAAATTTTTAAACTTAGGCTTTAAAAAGTTTGGACCTAATGTTTTTTGTTTTTTTTTGGAAATAAAGTTAAATTTTATATTTGTATACAATAGCGCTTTTTAATAGTGCTTAGAAAATGGCACTTATACTGTTAACTAATTGAAATAGTGTTTATTTTCCTTCACTCTTCCTTTTTATCATTAAATTTTAAATTTCTAAAATGGACTTGCCCAGCCTCCTTTTTTTCGGAACTGTCCATTATTAGTTTTGGAGATTTCAAGATAAAAAATGAAAGTCTGCAGACTGTACGGAAATGCCGGCTGGTCTGGCTCAAAAGTTGTGGCAAAGACTAATCGCGTCCGGTTTTAATCCAAATATTTAGACGTAACCGCCGGTTGGATTTGAAGCTATTTTTTACATTGGTCAAATTCGTTTTAACATTTTCTATTTATCGCATTTTCCGATAAACGTCAAACGGTAAAAAAAAGAAAGAATAATAATATCTGTCATATGTTGCGGTTCGGACCGGAATATCCGTCCCGAGGGGACCCGCCCATTGGGCGGTAACGAGGCTTGCCGAGTTACCGCCCATGGGCGGGTTCCCGAGGGACGGATATTCAGGTCCGTACCGCAAACATATGTCAGATATTTTTTCTTGCATATTCTGCCATATTATTTCATATTTAAAATGGTTTACCTCAATATGATATATGTTCATGGAAATTAAAGTCATTTCATCCCTAACTATTTTCTTAAAATAGCGTATGAACTTACAACTTTAATAACAACGACGAAATGACGTCATCCTAAGCACATATTTCCCTTCTAAAACGACGTCATTTTACCGCGGTTCATTCATAAACTGCGCTAAAATGACGTTGTTGTTTGGCACGCGACTCATCTGGCACCCCCCATGCCAGATGAAATTTCCGGCATGGGTAAAACTCACGGAAACGCCAGTCTGCTATGCAAGAATAATAATATCTGTCATATGTTGCGGTTCGGACCGGAATATCCGTCCCGAGGGGACCCGCCCATTGGGCGGTAACGAGGCTTGCCGAGTTACCGCCCATGGGCGGGTTCCCGAGGGACGGATATTCAGGTCCAAACCGCAAACATATGTCAGATATTTTTTCTTGCATATTCTGCCATATTATTTCATATTTAAAATGGTTTACCTCAATATGATATATATGTTCATGGAAATTAAAGTCATTTCATCCCTAACTATTTTTCTTAAAATAGCGTATGAACTTACAACTTAAATAACAACGGCGAAATGACGTCATCCTTAGCACATATT